CACACACACACACACACCCCCCCCCCCCCCCCCCCCCCCCCCCCCCCTTTGAGCAGCAGCATTTTGCTGCAGCTCAAACTCAAATATAGTAGACCCGTTCTGTCGATGTTCGACCACTAATCCATAATGTATTCATTCATTTACTTGAAAGCTTCTTATCCACAGGGATACCATGCTGCCACGGACACACACACACACACACACACACACACACAGACTGATAATTCGGGCCAGCAGCGGTCACAGTGGCTCATTCATCCATAAATACTCTCCTTACCTGTGTCCATCCTGAATTCCATATTGTGATGGTCGCTTTCCACGAGCTCCACCATCACTCCTTTTTTTTTTGTCATTTCTTTGGTGCCTCGCTCTTGCGGCCGTGTGCATTTTTGAAAAATCATCTCCACTAATAATAATGAAAAGGTGGGGGGGGGGGGCAGCTTATAGACGCTGATGCTGATGTTTCAAACTGCTGCGTGCGATAAAGAAACTGCCTCCTCAAAGCCAGTAATTCCAGTATTGGTTGTCCGAAGTCAATCCTAGCTAAAGTATGTGTAGGTTAAAAACTATATTTTTGCACCAGTGCCTGTTAAGACCATTTTAGTTGTCCTCATGTTGAACCGGAGCTCCGAACTGGCCAGCCGGAACCCGATGAGGACGTTTGCTGAGACGAGCCCTTTTTGTTTTTTTTCGCTGGAAGAAGGCCAATCCCGGAGAAATGTTGTCGCATTAGGGAGATAAAAGCAGAGGAGGCAAAGGACAATTCTTTAGCCTAATGACAGATCCATATCTAGTTAGATCCCCTGTCTCCCAGCAAGTGGCTTTGTTTTATCACTCGGTTAGCCGTTTTAATTACGGATTTGTCACATCCCGCCGGCCAAAATTAGACAATAGCTCCTGATTTTGGACGACAGTCTATAGTCTTTTATGATATCCACGTATAAGGGATATCAAAGCTCCGGACAAAACCTCCGCACTCCTTCCCCTTCTCCTTGTGGTGTAACAGAGGCACCGTCGCGCTCAAGGTGATGTTTTTGAAGACTGAAATATTTCCAGCAGAGACAAGGGGTGACTCATTTGGCAAACTTGAAAGCTCCGCTCGGGCTCGGAATAAAAATGCTGAGCCGATTGACCGAGAGGAAGTCGTCGCGTTCCAAGGCTATGATTCCATGAATGATCGTCTGAGGGAAACGGAGTGGCCCCAAAGGCGAGCCAGCTGTGAATTCAAACAGCCTGCTTTACTGCGTTACCCGAGAAGCCCACCAGTTCCCCCTCAGCTCAACCCCGGCAAGAGCGGAATAATTGAAGCGTCTCCTGAAATTGGTTTGGCAACGTCCTATGTCTACTGCGAAAAAAAAAAAAAAAAAACCCAGACCGAAACCCTAATTTAGGTTAGCCGAGTATTCCATCAAACAGTCATCCAGAGTTCGTCAAATATTGCAATTGACATCATTTCCCCTGTTAAAGCTTCCAAAAATATTTGATCTGTTTCAAAGATTTTTTTTGGCTGGATCCAATGGGACTAACTGCTTAAGAAGGTGTGGCATTGCCTTATCTCCACGGATGTCAAATATAGCCAGTCAAGACTTTTAAAGTAGGCCCCCTGAGCTGCAAGGTTAAAGTACTTAGCTCTTAAATGCTTCAACTTGAATTCAGCAAGTAACACAGGGGTCATCCGTGGGGAGAAGGCATTGTCAGAAGGATGTCAGCTTTCATTGTTTTATCCTCAGATGTCAGACATGTCACACTGTGGGACCACTTAATGTTGACTATTAAATATATGGATAGATCTGATTAAAACTGAACTATCAAATAACAGCTTAACCTTAATTTACTGAGGATTAGATATGTTTAAAATGAACCTAATATGAATTCACTATCATTTAAGTGTACCACAGAAATTCCAAAAGGTTGAGCTGCATATATGACATTCAACTAATAACAGAGATTTAACGACCACTTCGCTAAAACTCATGATACAATATTTTACTTAGATTGCAAATGTTTAAGGTGAGACATTTTCCTTCACACCTGGGAACTGAGGAGACCGGTGGGTGGACCCTTGTGAGAGGTTTACCGTCCAGCTTGTCTGATAAGGGATTTCTAGCTGCTCAACAATCCAGGAAAAAGGCTACATTCTTCACATGATGGACTTTTTAGTCCTTATTGCAGGTTCAATTTGAACTTGAGTTTGAAACATGCTGCCATCAAATTTATGATTAGCTCATATTTTCTTGGAAAAACTGAAACGTCTCAGTTTTTAGTCAAACTTCTCTTCAAAGGGAATTTCACCAATCTCTTTTACAATACAATACTGGTAGTTCTGGTACTTCTGTACTTTTATTATCAGGCCTCACAGTCTGCCAATTTTTTTTGCTTGCTAGCTAAAGAGAATGTAATTGTTACTTTATTACTACACCACTGTGAATAACCATACGCTGCATTACTAACAAAATGACATTATTTAAAGATTCTCCAGTGCTAATGGGCTTGGATGAAAAGTTTTTAAGGTTGTGCTGATGAACAAAACCACATTGGAATTAATGCTGTGCTATCACATCTAAATTTAAATGTAGCAGTGACTAAATCCCAAAGCCGACCAAAACTAAACTTGACCTTGGCAAAAGTTTCAGGGTGTCCGGAGCTCATTAGGATGGGCGACTGAAATACCGGCAGTGTCGGATGATTGATGATCTACCACTGAGTCTAAATGTTATTCATTTTGAATGACAATATTCAGAAGAAGCGGTGTAGCCTGTATGAAGTGTGTCTGAGGCCCCAGATTACTCCGAAGATGCTCATGACCTGAGTAGAAAAACACAGTTCAGTGATTCATACAGAAATTAGAAATTAGATATCACTGACATTAAAAATCTGTTTTACTCTAGAATTATTTGAAAAAGACAACCAGCACACTGATCGAGTGGGAATCAATGAGGTTTATCGACTTCGTTTTACATAAGAAATGTTGCTGCTTTTAAGCTGTTTTATATATTTATTTATTTATTTATTTATTTATTTATTGTTTGGCCAATTGAAGATTAAGATGTATTGTAGCCGGCAGCAGGCAGCCATCAGTGGTGGCAGCCATCAAGGCACTTCTGCATCACCTTCATAGTCTGAGACTGTAAGCCTTCTTTTATAAACAGGAAAAAAACTGAGCTTTGAGTGGACCTGAGGAAAAATACTGTTATGAATCATGAAAAAAGACATTTTAAAAAGGGCCCTTTGAAGAAAAAAAAAAAAAAAAAAAAAAAAACGCCTTCATTAAAAAAAGAAAGAACGCCGGGCACGCGGCTACCTTGAAAGTAAGAAGGACGGAATGAAGTTTCACGACAAAGACGCGGATGACGTTTTTCACAGAGTTCGTTTTTAAAAAAAACATTTTCTAAAAAGAACTTCCGCACAAAGCCGGCGTCATCGGGACGACGCCGGGGCGTAGGTGTAGTTTGACAGTATGGCAGCCAGCCAGAAGCAGCAGGTTAAGAGTAGACCAGCAGATGCGCGGGCCACACACTGCTGGGAATGTAATGCTTGAGGACTTTTTTTTTTTGTTTTCAGAAACGGATGAGTGCCTCTCATCTAAGTATTGACATCCCGTGGCGCCACAGAAACACTAAACCGCTGGCACGTCGCAGTCGACCCCCCCTCCCCCATCCCTTGATTTTATTTTATTTTATTTTTTCAGTGTGATGGGGAAAATGAAAGCGGAGTTGTTCTTCTTCCATGTTAGTGTTTTTGTATTTTTTTTAAAATAGTTTTGCAGCATTAATCACAGAAACAGTCCCAAGCACAGCCGAGGTGCTCCGGTTTAATCAGCCGTGATTTAACTGTATTGTGGTGGCGTTTAAGAGTTCTGAACCAATGTGTCTTTTCTGAGTCCTCAAGCTTCAACTCGAAAATATCTCTGTGAATGAAGACAAATCCCACTATTGAATCCCATGAGGGAAATGATCCCTCATGGCAGCAGTGTTAATCATGATAGAATAAATGCTACTGATGTTGATGGAAGATGGAGCAGAATAGAAATCAGCCGACGACTTGTTGAAGTGTAACAAGGAGAGGTTGTCAGAAATGGGAGAGATATCCACGAATTTCCGGGATTTTTTAAAATGCATCTTCTTCTTTTTTTAAGTGTGGCAACAGATTTACTTACGATCTCAAGGTGAACTCATCCGAAACTCACAACTAAGCTAAATTCGTTGAAACAGAACTTAAAAAAAAGAAGATGGAAACTAAGAAATACCTGACACTGGGAAAAAAAGCAAGGATAGACAGGGTAACGGCTGGCCTGGGGTCGAGACTTACAACGGACTGAAGGAGTACATGCGATGACCTGATCACGGATGAAATGACTAGGAAGGAGGCATAATTAGTGGAATGAAGAGCTGAAGAGAAAGAACGGGTACAGGGAGCCGAACTAATGAGGGAAGCCAAAGGAAAATGAGGGGCATGGATGAAGGTGGCAGAGACAGTAGGCTTACTACAGTAGTCAGAAAATGGAAGACAGACACCGGGAGGAAGGCACAGGTTTAATAAAACATGGAACATGAACCAAAAAAACACAAATCGTGACCAAACCGGATACCATAACGGCACCAACAGCCTTAAAAATCTCCATCTGCAGTCCCAATTCCCCCTCTTGACAAATCCAGGTCCCATGGCCACGCCTCCCAAAGTCTCCCACCAGTTCTCACACCTCTCGTTATCATCAGGAGTATAAATTGGTCCAGGCATCTTCGTCCTTTCTATCCTTTATGTTTCAACCTTTAATTTATCAACTCCCCTGGTTTTACAGCCTTGGTCCACACGTTCCAAGTGTTTTTTTTTTTATAAAACTCAATCAGCCTCTCCCACATGACATTTGATATTTTCCTGTTGCCACGGTGATGCGTCACAACACATCTGTAACAGCTGCTAGACCCGCTGCCAGATATCCCTCCCTCGGCACAGCCTCCTCATTCGAACCAGCGTGGAAAAGACTTTTGGAAAATGTAAAGAATGTGTTTTCGCAGAAAAACAAACAAACAATAACATCGACAAGATGCATGGTAGGAGACTCTGTGTAAAGAGCTGCTGCACGGCGTGGCACCGTTTCAAAACGGGAGGATGGCGCCCCGCTAGCGGCTAAGAGGTAAAGGAAGAGGGGGGGGCAGTGGGAGATCAACACACCCTCCAACAGACACCGACATACGGAGACAGAGGAAATTTGGCAGGTGGCTGTGGTGAAATGCATGCGAGCTCACAGACACACAGTCATGGGTACAGAACAAAGCCCTCCAAACATCTGTCCCCCCCCCCCCCCCCCCCCACCACCACCAGCAGAAGCCTGACCTGACTAGCTGAGTAAATCTCAGTGCTGCTCCGTCTCTCCCTCCAGGGAGAGTGCTCGCTGGCACCGAGGCCTCGAGTGAGCCGGGACAATGAATGATGCTGAGCTGCGGGATAGAGATTTAATCTGGGGGCTTTTCGGCGCGCCACTCTGGGTAAATAGGCTGCGGGATGCAGCCCGAGTCCGCCCGCAGAGGAAACTGAAGGTTAAAGTAACTTGTCCGCGCCGGTGTCTGTGGCCGTGCTCCATGATAGTGGCTTCAATCCCATCAGTGAAAGGCAGACACGTGCAAGGAACCCGTGTAGTAGCTGGAAAAGGCTAACCCGAACAACCTCCAGGAATTCAGGAATTGGATGAAAATGGGAATAATTAAAAGGTTAGTAGTTTTCGGTGTAGATCTACAAGGGGTACCTATGTTTTTTTTACGGGGGCTATAGAGATGTTCACAGTGTCAAAGAAAGTAAGTACATCCTTGTTGAATAAGGAAAAACTTTATTTTTTCATTTCTGTCGGAAATAAATCCAACTAGATATGATCTAGATCACTAGATAGTGATCTGTGAACTGCCTTTTTTCAAAGAGCTTTCATCGGGACATAGGTACATATGAACCTGTTTAAAATATATGTTGTTGCCAAGCACTATAATGTATCCTGGATCTAAATGAAAATAGTCCACTGCTGTTCGGAATGATTCTGCTGGAAAAAGTTTGACCACTGCAATGGGCCGACAAAATGCAAGCAGTAATCAAAAAAGGCCCCAAACTGTTTGCATTTAGAGAATTGTTGGAGCGTCTGCTGAGTTTACCAACCCACTGATATCCCACCAGAGAGAGGCAATCAATATAAAAGGGAAGGAGGTAAAAACAAGACTGGCGTCAGAAAAACAACACATATTCAACAGAAATATTTATATGAACGTGTGTGAATATGGGGGGTTGGGGGCGTCTTTGAGCAAAGAGAAATAAGAAATAGAAGAAATGGCCAGAAGTAAGAAGAAAGTATGTAACATGACTCTATAGGTGGAAATAACTCCCCAACTTTTATTCCCCTTTAGTCTCTCTGACAGAGCCATTTGTCTGGTGCTGCAGAAAAAGTGAGCTTCACAGTGCCAATGCAAGAGTCTGAAACCACAAATGTAACAAAAAAAGGGGGACGGAAAAAAGGAATGAAACCGCCAGGGGTAAGGAGAAAGAGAAGGTAGAAACTTCTGCAGCCTTTCCTCTATGTCATTTTCTTGGTGAGCAGATTTTTCCTCACACATGGTGTCCACTCCACATTTTATGAGAAAAATCCAACATTTTCCGAAAAGTGTAAAGTTGTGAAAGCAAATAAGTAATTTAAGACTCGTCGGAGGCGGTTGGCGCGGTTCGATAAGGCTTCTGTCCTTCAAATGAGAGTGAAACGTTTGCTGTCCAGGTGAGCAGTGTCATTTTACCTGCACAACAATCCATAACATGCCAAGGCCGATAATGTTAGAGCAGGTTCTCAAGTCATTTTTCACATCTTTGATGCATCTGAACCGACGTGACTAAACCCAAAATGCCTCAGACTTGGCAGAGAAAAGGCTGGTCTTTAATGATTCATAGGGCTAAATGTGTCAAAAAAAGACTTGATAGGGATTGTGGTGAGTGTGGAGTATCAGTCAGAGAAGGTCCAACAGTTCATCTGCTTTAGTTTCCTTAATTGGCATAATTACAAAGTCAGATGTGGAGATGTTATTCAACTGATGAAATTCGATTAGCGCAAACCCTAATTTCCCATTTACACATATCCGTCTAAGAAAAAAAACATCATCTTTACTCCCATCACATAATTTAGGATATTTGGTATTCCACCAACCGCTTCATCCAGGGAAGCCGAGGTTTAAATAAGCGAGGCAGGCACAGGAGGAAGAAAGGAAAAAATGAAGGACTGACTGAGTCAATACACAGATTTTTTAGCTTTGCTTGAGGACAGCAGAGGCAGAGACGGGATTCAGTGGGGAACAGATGTCGGTTCAGTCTCAAGACTCTTTACACCTCCATCAGCTGAGAAGGTGAGATATTTTGCCCGAGAAATCCTGTCAAAAACACATTCTGAATTAACATGCACGTATATCGACCCCCCCCCCCCCCCCCCGTTGGAAAGCAGAGTTTTGGAGGGGAAGCTTTGACGGCAGTGATGTGCCGGTGTCCCCGGTGGGGCCCTCGCCCGCTAAAGTGGCTGCCAGCTTGCGCAGGCGCCTCTGCGTTCGATCTACTTTCAAACTGGGCCATTTTCTTCGTATTTTCAGAAATAGTAGCTGTGCCACAGTCTGACAGTCACCAGAGGAACGCGGTGCTTCGGATTTACCTTCTCAACACGCTCACGAGCAGATGGCCATGCTAGTTTGAAGGAACGACGAAGAGAAAAAGGAAAAAAGAAACCACAAAGGATTGGTTAAACCCAACAAGTAATCTGAGAGACTTTGGAAAAATGTAATGGATAAGCTGTAATGACCTCTTTAAATTCAAAAGATACAAATTCCTACCATTGACTGTTTGGAAAAGCAAGCAGAGGGTTGCACAGTTACGAGGAAAGTATAGCATACAACAAAGATATAGAATATAGTGGTCTTCAATTTTGTCAAATTCATATCCTGAACAATCGGGGTGGAACAGAGAATCTAAAATATGATCTGATTCTCACAATTGTTTTTGGCTTTTGTCTTATTTTCGACAGAACAACTCCATCACGTCCCGTGATGTTTTGTCACATCAGCCTCTTTTAATCTTTTCAAATGAGTCCATTGTCACTTTTCATGTGACAAAAACAGCATCTTTTTATGGCTGCATCTTTGAGGGTTTGATGATCTCCAGTCCGTCATCTTATGGATGGACGCCGGCACGTAGACTTCAAAAACTGCGTCTCGTGCGCGTCCTCTCATTTTTGTGTGAAAGTTGTACAGATGCAGTAGTTTTGCTGCGTTCTCAGGTTCAACTTCAGCTAACTCAGTGTGGCATGATGCACTGTGGTAAGTTAAATGATAATTATAGCATGCTTTTTCCAACCAACTATTCCTGAGTACAAATTTGAAGTGACACGGGTAGGCTCTGGAAATTAAAAGCCGTTTTTTCTTTTATCTATCTGGGAAGATGCTGTCCCCTATTAAATCCACCGATAAGCAGGATACACGTATATTTCATTAGTTGTTTACAAACCCGCATGCATAACAATTTAGCTTGGTGTCGGACCTCTTTGCAAATAAGCAGGTATAGAGAACCCTTCAGGAGACAGTGGTTAGCTAAACCTCAGTGCTGCATTCAGATGATAAAAGGAGGCTGCACTGGGAAAAAAAACTGAAAAGAACTATAACTGATCGAAATATGGACCTTTTACACAGCCAGAGGGAGAGCCATTGTCAGCTCAAAGAAATACATTTTTGAGACAGATAGATGTCTCTGGCAGCATTTTGTCTGCATAAACAACAGGATGGATGGTAACTAATGAAGGCAGTGACAGAATTACTTGAAAGTAGCCGGCAAGTTTTGGGACTGTTTTGCAGGAAAAGACAAAACAGGCTAAGGCAGAAATCTCAAACTCCGATCCATGAGATCCCTGGCCCGAAGGCAGGAGGTGAAAAACACTGTTTGCAATAGAGTTCTCAGAGACACCGTCCACAAAAACTCATATGACGCTGTGAAAGCAGAGGATGTGCAGATGGATTAAATTCCCGAATTATAATTCACCCACCTTAGAGGTTATAGACTTGATTTATTTAACAAGAAAACATCAGAAGCCCGAAGATGCATCGCTAGATTAAAGCATTTGGGCCTCAGGTTCTTCTTTGTGCGATCAAGAGTCTGTCGAAGCAGCTGCAAAAATAAATCCCTACACCATACCCCGAGAGAAGTTAAGACCCGCCAATATGCTTTTTGACTTCTCAGCACCACAGATTCACAAATGACGGATGTCAGTTTTCCAGAAAGGCTTTAAATTGAATATCCAAGAGTTGTTTTTTTTAACACAGTTTCTTTTTGGTGTGCATTTAACATAACCGATTAATCTCGTCGATATTCAGCGACACAGAGAGCTGCTGCACAACTGAGACTTTGATGCCCATTCCCCGTGGACTGTGGGGATTTTTATCCACATGTGTTGCGGGGAGCATGCGTGCCCTATGTGTGCAGCTCTATCTGAGCACCGCAGCTTTTATGGTAAATCTCCAAGCTGTCATGTTTTATTCAGAGCGAGGCACAAAGAGTGGGTCTGTTGAAAAGCTCCCAGTATGCCATCGACTCCAACCCCCCCCCCCCCCCCCCCTTTCCCCCTCCCCACAACAGGCTTGCCATCTCTACATTTTCCCGCAGCTTTGTCACTCGCTCAGACAGTTATTCTGTGCAGCCACCAGTTTTTAAGTCTAACCAATAGAAGAGTAAGCCTCCGTGCTCGCAGCACAAACATTGTGAATACGCAGGAGTATGAAAAAAAAATAAGAAAAAAAGACTGCACACTCTCTCTGGGGCAATACTACTCTTTCAAGGTCCTCCACCAAAGGTCTGAGAGCTGGAGGGGTTCCAGAAATTGTCTTAGCTTTTCCAAGAACTGCACTCTTGTCTTCTGGACACAGATTATTGATGCAGTCTCTGGGATCTGCTGGAGCCACCGTCCCAGTTTAGTCATAGACTCTAGTTCCCACGTATTTTTCACTTCTCCCCTTGTGTATTCCCCCTTGATGTCGCTGTCTCTGCAGTCCTGTGTCCATCTCATGCCCCCTTCTGTGGTTTGTTGAACACAGCAGTGGTTGGTTCACCACCGGCCGTTACCACCGGATCTCAGTCTGTCACTGTCAGCCATCTTTGGAGGTATCTCCTACTTCAAAACCCATACTCGGCATATACGCATATACTGTACGTCCCAGTACACTCCAAATCATAACTATGTTCTGCCTGAGACGCCTCTTTGTCCAGGCCACACCGGGAGCATTCTCCATTGTTGAGCTGTCACGGTTGGCGCCCAGACCAGACTTTTCCAGCGTCTGGTAGCACTTGCTACATGCTTTACCGAGGGGTTATCCATTCAAGATGGTTCCTCTTCTTCTGCATTGACCCCCCCAGGGCTTTACCAGCAGACATCCTCTTTGCAATTCATGAGTGTACGCCATTCTCCTGATGTGTTCCTTGACTTTTCCTCGTTTCATAATGGATAGCGGTTTTAATGTTCACTAGCCGCCCACCTCCATCTTTTCCGTTCAGGGAACAATCTCAGGAGGCTGGTCTTAATATCAGTGCCTACTGTCTGCTCTGTTGGCCAGTTTATTATGCCAGTGGGGTTTCTGAATACTAGATTTTCCCATCCAGCTGACCCTTCAGGAGCTGTCCCATTCTTTGCAGATGCTAAGTTGAGACTCACCTCCTTGTGGCCCCCTTCATGATTGTCATTTTCCTTTGGGATGCCAAGGCGATTGTAACTGTCCTGAACATCTGCTATGCTGCCCTCCAGTAGCTTAACCCGTATAGTTGACATCGTCTTGCTTCTCGGCCCAGGCATGCAGTTTGATGCAGATCAAGTGAGCCAAATTTCCCTCTGAGATCACCATTCGGACATGCTAAAAGCAAATTTCCTCATGCTAGGGCTAGATAGTTACTCCTATGCATCTAGAAAGCGTGAAAAGAAAGTGCAGTTAAAAACTGAGCCCAATTAGGAAGGTCAATTTTGCTTGCACATGGAATGGATAACATATATACCTGATATATAGATATGTTGTATATGTAAAGGGTATATTTGCAGACTTTCAGAAGTTACAACCCTCTACTTAGTGCGGTTTAATAACTGTAGAAGAAAAGATGTTAGGATAGTCAAAGAACCTGCTTTTCCCCTCTGCACTCAGCCACAGGTAGAAGCTTTATTTCCCAGCCATAAACATTTTACAATTCCATTCTCATTAGACGACATCCTCCTTCAGTGTCTTAGTGCTGACAGTAAAAAACAAGGGATCCAGTTAGGAAATGTGGAGCCTGGCAGGTCTAGTGTCATCCTGTGGTTTATTTGCTCCCCAGAGATTTAAAACCAATTGAACCACGATGCTCCTGCTATTCTTTCGTCGGACTCAAAGTTGGAGTGAATGTTCAACATAACAACAGAAAGAAAATTGTTAAGATGTTGTTCACTTTTGAAAAAAGTAGCCTCACAAACGCTTGTTTTTCATTTGCTTGCATCCTGTCGGACATCATATTGTCTATATATATGCTCACTTAGGTGTCAAAATGCTCCCTCTAATGATGTTTTTCCATCTGTATAAACACGTTGCCGCCACATGAAAACGCACCCTGGCAGAACTGACGAAGGTTTTGAAAGCTGTTTCTTTCTCTTTGTGTTCCAGTTGTCCAGCATATAAAGAGGAGGGACATAATCCTGAAGAGGGAGCTGGGTGAAGGAGCCTTTGGCAAAGTCTTCTTGGCAGAGTGTTACAACCTCAGCCCCACCAAGGACAAGATGCTGGTGGCTGTCAAGGTACATTTTTAGTGTGTGGCTGTCACTGTGTATGTAGCTGTGTGTTTACAGGCATCTTAGTCCCACTCCAGCATATATAAATCCCCTAAAAGTATTAAACTCCTAAAACTGCTTGGGCAGATACTCGTTATGTTAATGTGGAACCATGAATATTTTGATAGGGAGCTGTCCTTGTGTCGGACCAGCATACAACACAGTATTGTCCAAACTCATTACTGTCAGTCGTTTCTCAAGTATTAATATTATTTGGTCACACTTGTTTGTACCAGAGAATTTTCTCCGTGTTCTTGTTTGTTTGTGTTTTTGGGATGGATTAACAAAGCATCTGTCTGAAAAGATTTGACTGCAGATGTGCGTTTCTATGGTAATTTCATGGAAATAAACCCAATTCACCTCTGATTCCATTCTACCTCCTCGGGCATGACACGGAGACTAATAGAATATGTTTTCCTGCTATCATAGCCATAAACAAAACATGTCAGGTCTTCTAGCTTTCTAACAAGAGCATGACCCACCAAGTAGTTTCTGCTGCCAGCTTTCACCGTCTCCTCCACTCGTCTTGTGCAAATCTCTTATAGTTTACACCCGTTCGCTATTTCATAGGTTCTTTCCATGGTAGGGCATTACCATGGTAATATGAGAATGCCTCTTCAACAGCTCAGGGTACTAAGCTTTACTTGAGGCACACACTTAACGATAATTCCTGTTTTAACTTATGTTGTGCCTCATTTTATTCTGCAGCGTTTTGTTTTAATAGCTCAAAATGGAAAATGGGGCTCTGGACTTAAACTGCCACATTTTCACATACAAGAGCGATTATATATAAGCCAGACGGGATTTATTATTTATTACAATAGGAATCTGTTCAACGTACGCAAAACTCTGCAAAACATTTCTATTTGTCTTTATTATTTATTTAGGAGAATGACAGGTGTAAACTTGCTGTGGATTACAGAAAGAGACTGTGTCAGGAAGAAAGGGTGTAATGTTTAGGCTAACAAATAGCTGGTTTGATACAACTGCACACTTCATGACTGCTGGATGGCACTGAATTAAGATTCCCCGTTTATTGCAAAACAAAGTGTCATTTGAAGAGTTTCTGTAGTCAAACATGTGCGTAGATGACAAATTAATAACTATCACTGCAGTTTTTTTCCATCTACAGCAAACAGTGTTTAAAACAACCTGATTAGTAGCTCGCTTTGATCAGATAAAGGAGGAATAAATTCTTGTAATGGCACTTCTGTATTTATTTATATGTCACAATCCTGTCACCAGCTGTAGTAACTGGCTTTCAAATTAATCCTGGTTTTCACTTTTTGAAGTTTGCTAAACTGCAAGCACTACCCCGTCACACACAGTAAAACATGGCACAACCACATCCCCGACAACGGGAAGAAGCTAAAGGGCAAACGTGTGCTGCGTTTGGGGTGTATCGTTCAAGCCAAGCTACCTGTCACCGAGCTGGCGTGGTATTCTAAAGGTGAACCGAACAAGTCCTGCCATTAAATACGCTCTATAGCACACTACTAGAATATTCTATCTGACAGGGCTGGGTGCCCTTAAACTTTGCTGAGGACCGAGCAACTTCTGCCAGATCGGAAAATTGATGTCTCAGACATGATGTAACGACAACAAAGCTAATACCCCAGTGAAGCGGAGGATTTGTTTAGAAAAGATTTGGAGCATTTGCAACCATTGTCGCAGCGTGGCAGCCCGCAGCGCTCATCATCCAGCTCTATATTAAGTTGTGCTTGGCAGCTCCCAGTGTGAGAATAAAGACGGGTATGAATGGGAAGCAGGTTGATTTTTCAATACGCCGGTGCCGACTCAGCGAAAGAGACAGAGGCCCCCACAGCTTGACGGAGGGAGAAGTTAGTGAACGCGATCAAGTGAAGGTGACTGAGTGTCTGCCCGCCGCATTTGCTTTCTACTACTTTTCGCTATAAAGAAAAGAGATCCCCTCAAGAGGGACCTCTTAAAAAACACCATATAACATGCATTTCCATGGGAACACGGACACAGCCCGGAGACACGCCGAACACTCTTAAAGGTCAGCAAAGACAACATTCATTGCAGCTCTTTCCCTCAATTTATTGTCGTCCAGCACTTCCGAGGTATTGTTTTGGAGGAATGCCCAGACAGGAAAAACATATTCTTAAGAGTTGAGTTTGATTTGGTAATAGAATTTTATGGCCAGCTTTACCTGCCCCCGTCGCACATCTCCGCCACGGCCAGGACTTCACTGGAAAGAGGCAAAAGGCACTCCCATTCCGAGGTCATTCCGTCTGTGATAATGTGAGCAGCGGGCTGGGAAAGCAGGACTCAAGGCCAACGAGATCAATGCCAGCAACTCTGTGCATTTTCATGCTGCTGATGGAGTGTCAAGAGTCTATTTTTTTTTTCCTCCAAGAACCAAGCCATAATAAAGGGTTGGGGGGGGGGGGGTTATTGCTGTAATTTATTTCTTCTCCTTTTTCCTGACACTGTTGGCTTTAACTGACATCCCATCAAGATTTGGTATTTCATGGGCTCTCCGCCTCCAAGACAGGTTCAAGGCACCTTGTGTGCTCCTTTCTATTACCAATCAGATCAGTTTTTGTGTGCGATGGAGGCAGGTACACTCCCTCCCCCCCCGACCATTACAGCCTGACTGATTGCTAACCTCAGAATGACAGCGTGTTCAAGATTGTGAAGAGTACAGAAATGGAATGGCGCTTTATGTGTACTGTTTTACTAAATTATAGGGAAAATGCCGTTCAATCAGCCCACGGCAGTTCTTGGACTTCGTGTAAAGAGGCCGACCCCGGCGAATGTAAACCTATTGATTTGGAGGTACCCATGACACCTGTAGGGATAATGAGCAACCACACTTCCACGGCGAGAGAAGGAAATGTAGCACAAATAATCAGAAGGTCGATGACTTTTGACCACTGGCCATCAAACGAACCCCAAATGCATGATTAAGGCAGAAGTTAGGATTCTGTCGGTGTGCAGGAAGAGGCAACCATCAACTGAGGTCTCATTAAAACCAGAAAAGTGTAATACAGAAGTGGAATAAGTATTACCCCAGCCCTAAGACAGGCCAACAGTCACACACCTCCAAATGATGTGCAGACTGCATCTAGGGTTTCATTTGGTGTATAATTCTGGGAGTTGTGTACTGCAAGGAATCAAAAAGTGTTGAGTTGTGTACAAGTGGATAGAAGTGCTATATAAATGCAGGCCTGTAACCTATTGATTTGAGTTCACTGATTTGATTTGGTTTGACAACATAACAGGGAGGACATGATGTTTCATATCTTCCGCACAATGTAGGACTATCTGAAGTCTATCTCTGGGTGTTTGGAATTCTGAGAATGGTAAATAAACAAAAAAGAAAAAGTAAACATGGCAAACAATTTGATTCGGACATGCGCAAGATACATGGCTCAAATGTCCACTGATGGGTTTTCTCACATTGAGTTTTTAGGTCTGTGTCACGTGGTTATTGTATTTGAATGCAAAGAAACAATTTAACCAAAAGAGTAATGGATGGATAGATCTATCGGGGTTGCTTTTCTTTTTTTTTTAACAAAGAACAAACAAATAAGTAGAAGGGGAGTCACCCCGATGTTTTGAGGATAATGTTTGATTTGCAAGGCCCTTTAGATTAGCATGCTAATTAACAAGAGAAATAATTAATGTCTGCGCCAAAAGTGATGGTAATCCATCAAAGTGTTGTCAGACCGTTTCATTCCGCGCACTTGGTCTATTAGTCATTCAAACCAACGTTGAGGCTACTAATTGCATCGGTGAGGGAATGCCAGTAAAAACAAGAGGTGCACAAGACACAACGTAGAACGGGAGACAGGAATAAAATGATAAGATGACGGGGAGAGCATATAAATTATACATTTGCATGTAACCTTCGTAGATAAATTGACAGATTAACAGAGATTAGAAAATGCAATCAATATTTACAAATTGAAATGATAAAATCCAGTATTCAGCATTCAGTTCATATAAGGTTTCATTCTGTCGATGTATCGTGTATTTTCAATCTTGTTCATTTGCCAACACAAATTAAACCAAAAAAAAACTGATCAAGACATGAAAAAAAATCAAATATGTGAAAAAGCAAATAAATGACAAAGTATCTCCAGTCGACGCTAAAAATGTTATATACAGGAAGAACAGTGTGTACGGAAGACAGAACAATGCAGCAGAAAGAATTAGCATATTCATTGTCATAGCACATATAGAGAATTGCAATGGTGTGTTCACTTGTCACACTGAGGAGAACCCTTATATAATGTTATGGTGACAGGTAGGAGCGATTTCATGCTGCGTTCCTCCTGACACTGGGGCTGGATGAGTCTGTTGGAGAATGAGCCCTGCTGTTTCATTATTATGTCAAGGAGGAATGAAATGTCTTGATCAGTGGCTTCCTTATGCCTCTGACTGAAATGTCTTCAGATTCTGTTAAAAGAAAATCCAAGCCTTTTAAATGAGTTTATTGAGACTGGCGTAAGATAATGGGGATGGACACAGTTAAGATTTGAAAAACTAAGTAAAAGGAAAAGTCCAAGAACTTATACGTACCACATCAAGAGCTGTTAAAAAAATAACTAATGGATTTCAATGAACTTGCCAGATGTGAAAACCATGGTTAAAACTGAACTAAAAAAAAAAGGCGATGGCAACTCGTTACGATTAAGCCCGTCTCTCACGCAATTGACCTCGGGTGAAACTCACTCATTATTTCCCCTTCCAGACGCTGAAAGATCCCAACCTGTCGGCCCGGAAGGACTTCCAGCGGGAGGCGGAGCTGCTGACCAACCTACAGCATGACCACATCGTGAAGTTCTACGGGGTGTGTGTCGACGGAGACCCGCTCATCATGGTGTTCGAATACATGAAGCACGGCGACCTCAACAAATTCCTGAGGTGAGTAGTTTGCCGAAGTGCCCTGGGAGCTCCCGTCTCCTGTTGTCGAAAAGTGGGAAAAAATAATTAACCGACCACGTCACAAAAAAACAGTTAGGTAAAAGATTAATTACAATGCAAATGTGCAGGTGAGTCAGTGCTCCTACAGGCATTATCGCTCTGCTGGGCCTTATTGACAATAAGGAAAAGACTTCAAAACTTCATCATCACACCATGACATTTTGAATTTTGTATGAAATCCCTCCTGTTGATGTAATCTGTACATCCTCTCACAGCTCTCTTGGTTTGCAAACTTGCGCACTTACATGGTTTTTAGCTCCATACTTGAGCAGGAGGAAGTGACCCAAACTCTGACAAAAGCAACATGATGCAGCTACAGCGAAGGCTTTGGTGAATGTAGTCAGTGTCAGGAGTGGGAGATGGGAGCCTGCTATCTCTTCCCTTTTTAAAAAAAATTTGATTTGATCATCAGTTGAAAAGATGACACGTTGCGATCGAGTGCGAGCGTGACCGTGTGCGCGCGAAGACTTTCTGTTGGGAAATCGTTCCTGAAATGAAAGGCGATGTTGCGAATGATGAAATTCTTTCACTGGAGGTGCAAGACGCGGCTGATTCTTGGCCTGGCTGGCTCTTTTGGTCACATTTTAAAAGACGCGATGAGTCGAGAATCAATAGGAGTGAACGGAAAATCAGATGTGCAGGTCCAACTCAGCCAAGGGATCCCGGTTTAACGGCGCTGTGCACTTAATTAGCCACTGCTGGATTTGGAGGAGTCAAAGAAGAGGGAGAGACACCAGACAAAGAGGAAAAAACGGCTTATTCCCGTATTCTGGAGCTCAGTTTACACACACACACTAAAGGAAAAGAACACAGATCGCACCGGAATTCCAAAATGGAGATAGAGAGCAGAGCAGCACTCCTCCCTGTGCGGTGTCTGGTCTGTAATTACAGTGACAAGAAGGTGATGAGAACAGCAGGGGGACCCTTCACATGAAATGAGTTCTTCATTGTTACCCAGAAAACCTGCAATCAACCTATTCTGGCCAAAGTAGGACTCGCAGAATCTGGATGAAATTCCAGAACCGCAATCAGAAGTCCTAACGTGTTGGAATAGGTTTGGCGTTAAAAGAAAAAAAAAAAGTGGCTACAAAGCTCATATTACATCCCCAGAATTAATCACAACAGTGCAGACACATAAGTTTATCAGTGCTATTAAAGCGGTGCTTGCAGGCTATAGTTAATTTGTTAATATTTCTCACATTCTCTCTTTATTATGCTAATGATCCTCCATAAGGAGAAAAAGACACATAGCGTGAGCACAATGGTTTATTACTGTAGTGCTGTAAGGAGCTTTTGGTTAAATCATGAAGGGGCTAACCCTGTTCAGCATTCTGTCAAGCTGGGCACACACTGAGGGTTCCTGGAACCGGTTATCAACAGAAGCCATGAAAGCAATAAAATAAGAATAGGAGAATGGCAGCGCTCCTGTTATTCACGGCAAATAAGGGCCTTTCCACTGCGGCGCTTCTTGCTCTGGTGCAGACACTACTTGGCCCTCTTTAAATAAACATTTTGAATCATTAGTCGAGGACTTGCCTCCAATGGTGTGACTTTTGAAGAGGACCTATTAAGGCCTGTTTTTTCCGCCGGACGGTTATTTCCCAAAGTGTTAATGGAATGCACGCCACATTCTTTTTCCAGAGAAACAATGGCCTGCAGCTCCTTTTACACTCAAAGAGTTTACACCACCGTTCATAGTGACCCCGTCTCAGTTTGTGGCAAGAGTTCTCATCCCTCTACAACCCTTTTCTTCTGGTTAAATTAGCTTCTTTTCAGGTTGCCAGTACACAGTAAACATGGGGCCAAATTCTTACTATGTGGTGGAGCATACAATAATAGCCTGAGAGCATACGCCCACCACAGTGATGGACAGTTTCTTCCTGAAAGACCAGCTTAAAGTTCATTCACAGTAGGTTGGTATCGTGTATTTTTTAAGGTGTGGCCTTGTCTCCAATAATGCCTTGAACTGACCTCAGGATGTTATGAGTACATAGCAACCAGCCAGCAGGCTAATATTCAAGTTAATATGATAATATTATAATATAATGTTAGATATTAATATTATGATATTCAAGAATATCTTCCTGATTAAATATGTTCAAACATATACGTCGAAAAGTTGTTTTTATCGAATGTTCCCTTCAAATACTCAATCACATTTGATTTGTTAAGCGTCTTATTCTTGTTCTTCATTCGCAAAACTGAGAAAAAGGGAACGCCGTCCCCAGTACCAGACTAAACCGGTGGGCATTATTCTGTGTGACTCAGAGCCCACGGCCCCGACGCCATGATCCTGGTCGACGGTCAGCCGCTGCAGTCCAACGGAGAGCTGGGCCTTTCCCAGATGCTACACATCGCCACCCAGATCGCCTCGGGCATGGTCTACCTGGCCTCGCAGCACTTTGTGCACCGAGATCTGGCCACCCGCAACTGCCTGGTGGGCAACGGCCTGCTGGTCAAGATCGGAGACTTCGGCATGTCCAGGGACATCTACAGCAGTGACTACTACAGGGTAAGCTTCGGCCGCCGCGCTTGCTGTCCCCGTCATTTACGGTAGAATGACTCTTCTGTCCAGAAGTCCCATCGTTAGCGACTCTGAAACCGTTTGAGCTTTTTGCCACGCCTCAGTTTCCTCTGCTGCAGGCACCTTGCCTCCAAACCGTGTGAAAAATAAACAAAAAAAACATCAACGCTGCGGGTCTTTCGGCTGTCAACACGCTGTTCATTTTAACCCGAGGAATCTCTAATCAGAAAAACTACATTTAGTTCCCAGTACCTTTGACTTGATCTCTAATTAGGCTCTAAACAACTCAAAATAAAGCCTCTGGGGCCCACAAAAAAAGGGAATAAAATAGGATCACTCTAACGGGGGAGTTGCTGTTGCTTTTCTGTGTTATTTTGTTTATATGCGTCTTTTTTTTTCCCCACCATCTCTCTCTTCTGGGGAGTGTTAACAGCTCCCCCCTTTCCCCGTGCGGCCCCGGGCCTTCACACCACGCCTGGCGCGTTCAGTGGAGGACGGAGCGCTGCAGCCATGTGGTGGGAGATGAGCCTGCTGAGCCTCCAGCCCGATGCTTAGAGGCTTGTTTATATTGCTTCATAATCATGTCTCCTCTACTGTTTAACGCGATTAGCGACGAACGAATGCAGCAAACCAGGCGGCAACTGCTGGGCTAAGAGACGGAGTATTTTTTCCCGCTGAACAAATAAGCCGAGTGGAGTGCATGCCGGAGACGCGGCTGCCCAAAATAGACCCGGTCTTGCGAAATGACTTTAGGTAAACCTGATGGGGGGTTTTTTCCCAGCGTGACAGCTGGACCGGTCAGAACGGTGCTCGGGGCAGTGCCGGCAGCCCTGCGCCCATCAAATAATTTGCTCAGAAATTTTTAGAGTGATGCATCCTGTGCGTGCTCCATGGCTTCTTCAGCTGAGCAAGAACATCACTGCCATCAAACCAGAATAGTTAAGGAGTTGATTAGGCCATGGGAGAATTATGCTGGGATTCTGCATTCTTTGCAATGTATGGATTTAAAAAACAAGCATAGTGTGAGCAGGATATCAGGATATGTGTTTGTTATGTGTTAAATAGATGTTCCCACCAATGTAGAATTAGTTAAATAAATAAATAAATAAAAACAGCCATGGAAGTTATTTATCAGGTCTTAAACACAGATTTCATCTCATAAGGACAGCACATATTTCTCCTTGCTGTTGTGTATTAAACAAAAGCCGATCCTAAATAAAGAGGCAGAGTGTGGAAAAGTCGGCACATATTTACAGCTTCCACAGGAATTAAGAGAGTAAACCTGCCGCCAGTTGCTGCTCGTCGAACGCACTCAGTCAACAGATCATCAGCAGGTGTGAGCACCTCTAGAAAAGCACAAGTTCTGCTCTTCCAAACTTGCTGTGGAGTCCATCATTCTGTAGTTACTAAACATTAAGTGGATGGCATTCCGAGGACTGGACATTAAAGACAGTCCCCCTCAAGATCCCAAAAACGGTCACACGCAACGGTTAGCTTATTAGAGTTGTAAACTTCCAACATTTCTGACACTTTGATTAAAAAAAAGATTGAAAAAATCGATTTGTTGGTAAGAACAGCAAGAAATGAACATGACAGAGTAATTACCTTTAAATCGCGATAAGCAAACTACAAGACTTGGAGGAATGTTTATTGGACAGACCAGGCCAAAGTGGAGATGAGTTTTCAGTATGCAGAGCCACAAATAAAGGGAACCAAACGTATGAGCACAGACCACTGTTTCTCATGGAGTATCTCTATATATGTGCGTCATTTATATTTCATCTTCATTGGATTTCTGTGTTATTTATATATGTATTTTTTGTTAAATCAGTTTGTAGTTTTGTTTTAGTGAATTGATTTGTTTCAAACTAAACTTGATTTAACACTAGATCGTCCACCTGCTACCTTAAGCGTAAAAAGGTGTCGGTGCTTGGCTGGAGAAAAGCAGATTGAAAGGTAAACCTCCAGCAGTGACTCCGGCGAGCCTGTACGGCTGCTCGCGCACTGCTCAGGTGGGCCTCGGTGGACGAGTAAAAGATTGAACCGAGCGTGTTTTCTTGTTTTGGCTCCAGAGAAGCTCGTCTAATTGCCTCAGTCACAACTCATTTAGCAGGCAGATAGCACTCAGCTGGAAGACTGGTTCAGTTGGCTGTTTCTAGTCTGAACAATTACAGGCCTAATATACTGTACATAAGCGCCACGAGTAAACAGAGGCTTGCTGCGGATATAAAACCCGACCGAGGCAAAAAGGGAGCTGTGCGGGGTTCTGACTTCGTCGGAGTGCGATTGCCCAAGATGCAGTTGGTTAATACCGCAACAGCTAAAGGTCTTCAGTCGTCACTCGGCCGCTTTCATCAGCAGGAAGCTGCTGAGGGATGGCGCCCTTGACATTGAGACTCCTGCTGGTAGTTCAAACGCTCCGCGCGGAGAGGGGCTGGACCTTGGGGGTGATGAGGTGAGGCCCTCCCCTTAGCACATAATGCCCCTCGCAGACGGATGAAAAGAAGCACCGGGATGCTTGTATTTCTGCCTGGGCTAAATGAGGCCAGCCAGGAAACAGACCCCGCGGAGGTCTGAAGACCAGGGGTAAAAACTGATTATGTAAATCTCCTTTTTTTCCCATTTTTTCCCCCTCTGTAATCCACAGCTCTGTTATTATTTTGCTTTTCATATGTTTTTGTGGACTGCAGGCAGCCGTTCCACAGTTGTTGATTTGCATTTCCACCAACAGTTTGCATGTTTTGGGGGTTTTTTTGTGCCGTTTGCGGCGTCCAATCAAATGGTGAGGATTGTCCAGAGCAGACGCCGTTGAGTTTCAGATTAAATCGTCTGTCTAGCTGAATTCTCTACCTGATGGTGTCCCAACTGACAGCAGTATGAGACAGAAACGGCTCTGGGTGCTCAGCTGTGTGAATCACATACCTGCACGAACCGATTTAAATGTAAAGCTTCCATTTAGTTACAGCACAGTTTCCGTGAGGAACCACATGTGTCGTTGGTGACTCACAAGGACCTGCATGTTTTGACTTTCCCTCCAAACCCGACCCTAAACCTGCTCTGCGTTGCTTTGGTCGGCCGGAGCACCGATCTAAAATTGTGGCAATCTCAAGTTCTGTGAGAAAATTCAATCGACGAATAGCATTTCCCTTCTGATTCGGTGTGAGATCAAGGTGGTGCTTGAAAATTACAGGACAGTGTGAGATCTAAATGCGCCCCTCGAGTTGGAGAGTGGAGTTTTGAGAGCTTTTAGGTGTCAGACGGAAACACCAGGCAGGTGCCCACCTCCCTCTTTGCAGGAGTAATCATTTTCTGATTACGCTTCCCTCTTGATTGCTGCTGCATTGTTGCTTTTCGCAGTGATTTTAAAATTCATCCCACTGGCTCACCTGGACAACCAAGCCTTCCTATGGACAAAGTGTCAGGGGTTAGGGGTATTTCATGTTGAAGAGAGTCAAATAGCACGATTTTTAAAAGATTTAAAAACACGAGCATGCGCCACGCCTTAAGTAAAGAAAAGAAAGATGGCCGCATGTCTTTGGTATCTATCTCTGAGTGGTGGTTGGTGGTTTGTCAAGCCAGTTAACACAAAGAGCCTGGCTGTTAGACTTCCATCATAGCTCAGCCCCCAGGTCATAAAACACCCATCTAGATTCAATAAAAAGCAAACCGAGCGGTGACAAGAGCCGAGGCAAAAATCATCGCTCTCAGCAACAATCTAGTTGGAAGAATTGAGTTACTTGGGGCCACTTTCCCCCATCTGAATGTGGACGTTCTGCCACGCGCTATGTAGCATTTCATAAAGTTTCAGCGGGCTGAGACGGTTTATCAAATAATCAGTTTGTTTAATTCTGAAAAGATGGCCCAAAAGTTGCTCGCCAAACACTAAGAGCCTCAGTTTAAACTGTGTACGTTTGGATGCGTGCGGCACTATTTTGTGCTTTGTGAAACCATCCTCCATGGAGGGATATTGACAGGGCCACGAGAGAAGGACCCCTTAACAGTGTTGGACACTTGACCTGCGTGGAGTGACTCTTAAATAGCAGCATTCCACTGTACAACGGGTACAATCTTCCCCTCGGATGACAAGCCGCCGCCCTCTGCTACTTCTGAGACACTCTGCCGCAGAAGGGAGCAACTTAGTGATAGAGATGAATTTCGTCCTAAGCCACATCCATCTGTCACAGCCGTCTGCTCCACCTGCACCAAATACGCCTCTCTGTTGTTCACCAAGAGAAAAAAAGACAAATCTGAACCTTTACAGGCTGACAACAGCTCTGCAGTCTGCTCTTTTCTCTTTTTTTTTATACCATGCCTCTCCATACATCAGGAAAAGTTCCCCATAGGTCTAAATTATGCATGCTTCGGAGGGGAAAACATGAAAGCAAATACTATGAAAGTGCCTGTGTACAAGCAGTGAAAGACGGTTTGTTTTTTGTGATTTTGGATGGAGGGGTTGACGAATAGGCACTTTTTTATATATCTGCATTTTTTATTTTATTAATACAGAATGGGGGGGTGCAATATTTAGTCTCTTAGATGTCATTACTGTAGGTTTTATCTTTCTAATGTAAGACGGCAGCCGCCGTCGTCCCTTTTCTTAGAGCAGAGTTGCGCCCACAATGAGCAACGCAGTGGGTTTGACAGCTAATTTCCTCCTGACATTTTTCCAAAACTCCCCTATTTAAATGTCGACAGTGTTCGCTGGTTACTGCCGAAGGCAGAGCCCGAGACAGCTGCTTTTCTGATTTGGCGCGTTAATGAATTTGATTTTGTAATTTGCATCAAATTTCGGTTCGGGCAGCCTGTCAGAAAGTCCCAAGCACCAGCGCCAGGTAATGTGTTTTTAGGAACTTTTAAGAACTGTTTATTTAAGTATAGGTAGGTAAGGAAGTGAAATAACTATTGTATGAGTGAAAAGAAAAAAAAAAGGTATCAAACGTCAGGCGCTGAGAGGAAAAATTGGCTTAGCTTGAGATTTCTAATAACTGAAATAAAGACCAAAAACAAAGAATGAAATCCAAAAAGCTCTAATCGTGCCTCTAGTTAGAAACTCTGTAGAAACCACTCCATAAACTCAAGCTGTGGAAAACAGCTAGGGCCTCATTTCTTTATGTGTGACAAAGACAGACTTCCTTTGTCATCTCTTTAAGTGGTCTCCAGTGAGGGATCAACTAGAATAGTCTCGTGGAATGTGAGAAAAAAGATTTTGAAAATGATATCAAGGCAAACAGCCAGTCATAAAATACATTTACTCCTCGGCAGCATCTACCAATCATGCTGGAAACAGTATAATTTACAGGAAGAACGAAGAAAAAGGTAGAAAGAATCAGGCTCAAACTAAATAACCATCTCTGTCGACTGGTTCGCTGAAGCCTTGTAAGATATGGTGTCTATGGAAGGACTGCTGTCAAGAAACCATTCTCAAGGAAAGAGGATGGGGGGGAGGCTGTGATGTGATGAATGACACGGCAACTTGGCTGAAAATCAGAGGACACGGGCGCGATGGAGGGATGGATCCCATAGCTCAGCATTACTGAGGGAGCGGGGGATCATCCCGATAAAGAAGCAAACAAAAGGCAGCCCAAAGCCAAAGTACAGCTTTGGGGTGCCCTTTGAAAAGCCCGGGGAACCATTCCCGACAACCCGCTTTAAAAAAAAAATAACAGGGGATCTTGTTCTGTAACATTTATTACCACATAAACACCGTTTCTTCAATCATATCGGAAGACGCTTCTCTAATCCGTTGGAAGCATTTTTCATTTTCTTGGTAATATATAAAGAAAAATAAAGGCCGGGACATAAACGTCTGAGCAGCGCTGTATATCGTTTTGAGAGGCAACAAAAAGGGGATGACTAAACTATATAAGGAAGAAAAAAAATCATGTAACGACTGTGTTTCAAGGACTCGCTGTTCTTTGTGCCTCCACTTTACCTGTGCTGCTTTTGTCCGAGAGAAAAAAACAGTCCCCAGGTTTCCCTTCGTCTCCGAGATCAAACAGACGCTCCTCTGCTACATTATTTATCCGCCACGCTCTCCTCAGGACTGCATGAAGCTGGGTGCTAATGAGTACACATGACTTCTGCGAGAAGGGGCGCAGACATTTTTTTTCCCCTCCCTCTCCTGTTTTGTATGATGTTTGGATAGCCCGGATAGATTGAATCCCTCTCTCGGGTGTTATAGTTTGATTAGGAGCATGAGATTGATGGCACCGTTTTTTGGTCTGTTTGGTGTATTTAATGATGCATACCAAATCCTCCTTAGAGCCGGTTAAGTTGATCTGGCATGAAACAGGAGAACAGAGAAAAAATCCCTCAAAAGACTGGGAGTAAAAAATAATGATAATAAAAATAAAAACTTTATTGTAGAATATACCATTTGATCAGCTCCCATCCATTTTATCACAGCAAATAGTTTAATTTTATGATGTTTTTCAATGTATCAACTTCTTTAGAATCAGTTGCCCATCGATACATTTTATTTTGCTCCTAACAGCTGAAAAGGGAGCAGAATAGATGGCCGAGCTCTCTCTTTAATCTTTGTTTTGTCGACCCTCCCGAGACGAATTCAGAATATTGGTATGTAAGCAGGATTAGGACCCGTGCGTTTGTGACAGGGGAGGCGATTTGAGAGCCTGCGGAGACTTCCGCTGCCCACCGGCTCCAGCCCCCGTCCAGACCGGCTCCACTTTATCTCCGCTTGGCAGCAGCAGCTCAGCGGGCGTCCGGCGAGTGGACATCAGAGCCTCTGAGAGCCCACTCGCGCTCGCCGCCGTTTGAGCTGGGCGAACAGAGATAGTGGCACGCCGAAGAGGGTACAGGGGGGTGTGAGTGTGTCTAGATGGTTATCGAGGAACTTTAAGATGTCTGGGGGCTTCCCGAGGCCTCCCCCATCCACCCCCCCCCACGTCCCCCCCCATCCCCGCAGGCCGCAGAGCGCCCGGCCAAGAGTCCGACCAGGCTGGTAATCTATCCCCCCGCCATGCCGCTGTGCTCTCCACACCGTTAATCCAATCACTCCCCTGCCACGGTGGGACAGGCAGAGCACTAATCCAGTTTGCACAGCAACAAAAAAAAAAAAAGGGGGGGGAAAAAAAAAAAAACCCCCAGACTCATTCTTCCTCACTCCCTGCAGAGCCGTGCCAGCTTCTCCCTGTGACGTTGAGTGAGAAAAACGAGGATCATCATGGGAGCAATTATTTAATTTTTATCATGTGTTTTGCTTTTTTTTTACTTATTTTTTCCCCACCTGTCCTTAGCTAACTGCTAAACCCACAGACACATCTGCAAGGCCAACTTTCAAGGGGTTCTCGCAGCGATCCCAGCAGCCCGGTGGTTAATATGCATCTGATGAGAGGCAGGGCAGGGCGGGCCTCACACAAGTCTTTCAGGCCAACGGGATCTTAATTAATTTAGTTTAATCTTTACAAAACTCCATGGGGGGGTTACGGATCGGTATACAGCCCCTCTTACCAGGAAGCATGGCTTTTGCAGGGAGGGAGGGCCGTCTCCGTATCGACGACATCAGTATCGGCTTAACGCCGCGCACAATAGTTAAACAAGTCGTGTGTAATGAGAGCCGGTGGAGAGGGGGGGGGGGGGGGGGCCATTAGGGGGCGGGGAAACCTGGGGGAAACGAGTCCGAGCCCCCGCCAAGCCCTCCTCCCTGCTACAAGACTCACAGTGGCAACGTCAATAAAGCCCCGCGCGCATTCAGGATGGAGAGAAAGGGCACCTTTTAAGCGCAAAGTTTATCTTAATTACTATTTTATCTGACCCACAAGAGAGCAAAAACAATTAAAAAATAAAAAAATAAAAAAATAGCAGTCTTGATTATCTCCCACCCTGGTGGTGGATTAGACGTGTTTAGGCCGGGCGGGGTTTTAAGATTTGAGGGCGTAAAAGGGAGTTTTCTGCCCATTGACTCAGATGCCCCAGGGGCGAGTCACAGAGAGGTGGGATTGCGACAGGAGGATTCAGGCCACAAAAAAAAGGGAAAAAAAGCTCAGAAGTGTATTCTCCTCACTTTGAAACTCTGCACTGAAATGCAGTTGAGCAGGGCACCAAACCCCCGGTGAGATTAGCGGGAGAGTGTGGTTGCGCTGGGCGGCTCTGAGGTGTAAATGTGTGTGAATGTATTACTGTGAAGCAGGAGGGAGGTGGAAAAACAGCGAGTGCAGAACAAAACCCTCATGGGACTTTGAAAACGTTAAACCACAGATGTTAAATCTCATGTGTTCTAACATAAAATATGCTTTAGTGTAGGATTGATTACAAATGTTTTGATAATTTCCCAACTATAAACAAGGGCAAGCCATATGAACTAGAATTGTGTACTTCTTCCGCTAAAAAACAAGAAGATTTTTTACCTGAAAGGCCATAACTTTGACATGTCTATGCCAAAACATTTACTTTTCGTCCTCTAAGACCATTTTTTGGGTGGAGTCACTTGTGTGGGCAGACACACGGGGACTTTCTGGTGGTTGTTCGATACTTAAATGTTCAGGAGTAATGGCAGTCAGCCCATACCATGATACTACGGCAACCAGATTTCCCAGAAACGATGGGGTTGACGTTGAAAGACAGTGTTTCTTTCTCCCATTGTGATCGGATTCTCATTTCTACCTAAAGCTTTCAGGACAGAATTTGTCCTGTCTTGCAAACTGTGGTTCAACATTATGTTGAACTGATGCTCACATAAGACATGAAGTGCCTTATACATCTTCAGATTTATTATTTTCCTCCCCATTTAAAACTTACACAATAGTTCATGGTCTCAGGAAGTCTTTTCAATGAACAGCATAAAAAAATATTCACAATGTTTAGCATCTGTGCTCTTTGTGTGAGAGCTGAAGGTCTAACAGGGAGGACTGGACTGTAATTACACCACACACAGAGAAAACACAAACACAATCCAGCCACATTTCACCTGAATTCACCTTTCTTTTGGGAACCTTCCTCCAGTAAAAGTTGAGGTCTGAACATTTTTCTTTTTTTTAATGAGCTGGAATGTGACGGCTTAGCCTTTCTCTCATCCACTACCTGTCCTCACACGCACCCCACGTTCCTCGGCCAAATCTCTCACTATGACAACTAGATTTGAATGCATCGCGTGGTAATTCCTGCAGCGCGTCTATAAGTAAGCAAACAGATTGTCAAAGAACAGCGGAAGATAGACTGTAGAACGTCTCAAGACAGTCTGTGGGGAATGAAATGTTGCGGCACGGCTCTAATTAGAAATGTGCAGCCTTGCAAGGCTGAACTTACCTGAACTTTTGGAAATTAATTCTGAGCAGGAACTTCCCGGGTGCTTATATGTTTCCCCGGTCCGTGAAGGGGAAATGTAGCCAGGTCCTTCCCAAAGCTTATCTAAATGTGCTTGTTGGCCAGACTCTCAAAGATCCCTTTCAAATAAAAGCATAGAAATATGAAAAAATTGAGATCTTTATGATAAGAAGTGTTGTGTGTATATGTTCGAAGGTTGAACACGTCGCAAGAATTTCCTTTTTTTTTCTTTCTTTTTGTTTTAGAAGCACGACGCTTCCAGCAGGTTAAATGACTGAGGGAGGAATTGAAATGAAATGATGCTTTCCATTTGTTTTTATGCAACGCCGGCAAGAGAAGTTTGACATTTTGGAGGTTAATGGAGTGTGATTTTGATTCTCCGTCAGCGTGTAGGTGTTAGCGTACAAAAACTCTCTCTTAACAGTCCTGTTCACCCGCAGGTCTTGTATGCAAATATTGGTTTGTGTTCAAAAGTAAGACGGGCATGCAGCTTTGTAATGTCACTTTATATAATAAACAGTGCACATTTGGATATAAACGCATTTAAGATGGACAAGAACAAGGGTCTCATTCAAGAATTACAAGGTCCAGCATGACAAAGCGACCACATCATCATCTTTTGAAACTTTTCGAAAGGACACATTTTCAGCGGATGCCTAACATTATGAGGCTTTTGGTCTTTAAATGTGTCTGTTTCTTTGAATGCATTTGCATTGGGGACGTCGTATCAAGGCTAACAAGCCATTTTCGAGGCAGATCATCAAGACGTCATCTTGATTAATTTGTTTGGTTAAGTTATGTTTAAATGATGTATCAAGCCTTTGAAAAGAACATGAAAGTAAAACAAATTAACTATTAAATTCAAGGCGGCTTAAATGAAAATAACTTTTTGTTTGTCTTACATACATTGCATGAATCATTTTATTCTTTTTTTATTTATTTCGGGAGCAAATATTAGGACAATATTTTAATCACCTGTTTGGATTCAAGTTATTGATGTGGAAGTTCTTGAGCAGATGTAAAAAATACTCTCTTCATGTGTCTATATGAAAGTACAGGAAAGATTTCTGTGGTTTTGGTCGTGTTTGAAATGCGACGTGCGATTTATTTATTTATTTATTTTCCATCCATGTCAGAAGTCAGAGAAGGTTATCTCTGAGCGTCATCCCCAGCAGCTAGATTTGATTAAGTGTACAAACCAGAGGACGTTCTAAATAAATGCCCAGGAAGAAGCAGCCTTTTTTGGCAGATTGACAGATTTTATGTTTCTTTGAAAAAAAAAAGAAAAAAAAAACATCCAGAAGAGTGAGCTGCTACACCAAGCCGATGCACAGAGATTATGTTTGACTTTCAAAGGAAATGTACGATGAGTGCGCCAAAGAACTGGGTCGTAATTAGAAAGAATTGAGTTGATTTTTTTTCTCGCTTTTTCTTCTTCCCCTCGATGCTTAAAATGCCACGCGGCACTCGCAGCTGAAGGCACACAGATGTTGGAGCTGGAAAATGGAGTTTGGAGAAGAGCTTATTATGATTAAATGAATCTGATTGCGTCGTACCCCAGTAGTGCCGCTATGAGACACTCTGTGATGGTGAATACATCTCGCAGCTAATGACGGTTTTATACCACACGGTATGTCTGAGTGTAGATTTAATTTCATGTTTTCTTTATACACAGAAAAAAAACAGGCTCGGGGGACCAGACGTGTGTTTGAGCCAACCGGTTCTCGATGGTCTGATTCATTGTATGAGGGCTTTACCGACTTATCGATTTAAAAAAAAAAACATCAGAGGGGAAAATCCATCTTATTTTTATCCTGGCTAAACGATCAAGGTGACAACAACAAATCTAAAAAAAACAAAACAAACAAACCAGACAGTGAAACAATAAAAGAAAACGAGAAGGCAATTGGAGAGTAAAATCCACGCAATTCGTACAGTAGGCAGTGTACCGTCAGATGACCCTATCAGGTCAGATTAAAGCATCGATACAGCGTTTTCTTTGATCTTCCTGCATCTAGAAATTGATTCTGAGTTTTAAGTGGAATGATTAGCCCTGATTCTTCTCTGCGGCCAGAGGGCACTAGTCGTGTTTGTCTGTGCCAGTGTTCCGGAAGAACGAGTCCAGGTTTCAACAAAGCAAACATTTTCGTTCAGAACGATTACAGGGATACTGTAGCAGAGAGTGCTAGCATCTGAAGATTTGGCTTAAAAACAAAGGTGAAAAGACCAGTTTTTTCTTTAGTTATCAGCTTATGACACAGTTTTCAAATCATGAGATGACTGTCAATAGGTTTTCATACGTTTTCGGACACACGTGAGCATTGTAGAGCAGAGAAAGGGACCAAGGATGTGGAGTTAAAGTGTTCGTTTGGGCCTTAACAAACAGCCAGTCTTCACATCGGACTTCAGTGGACATATTAGTAGCACTACAAATCCATGCACTTTGACCCCTGACCCCAACAACCCCCCCACTGTAGGTGATGCTATCTTTGGACTTTTCCACCTCGAGCTCAC